TCTTTCCCTCAGAGACGTTCCAAGTCGTTGTGAGAGGGAACGGTTTCCGACACGCCCGGAATGTCGATCGAGTGCTCTGCAGCTTCCGCATCAATGAAACGGTTACTTTCAGTGAGTAGCTTGTTGTTTTACCTTCAGTAGCTGCTGTTTTCCTCCAAAAGACGTTGGGGCCGAAGTGGGGAACCTCCGGTGCACCAGCCGCACACAGTTCATCAGGGTTAGGTGCTTCTTGTTTACCTGAGCATCCACAGGAACTGAGTCCTACGGCTCCCAATGGCCACAGCCACAGTTCACCGTTCCTGGCCAAGGGGAGCTGTGGAAAGTGGAGCAGGTCGGGCCACCATGACCCATGTCTCCCATTGGCCGCGTACAGTGAGCCACAGCCACTGGGAGCTGCGAGAGCCTGGGCCTACAGGTGCTCAGGTAAACAAACTGCTCAGCATCTAACCTGGCCCATAGGCAGCAGGTTCCCCACCCTGCATTGGGCGTTGTAACCCTGAGAGGGAGAGCGCTTGAATGTAGGGGTGCTGCAGCAAAGAACTGGTGCCTGTCTCGCAATGAGCTGGAGGAAAGCCACTCCCTGGGCATGGCTTCCTGAGGTATTAGTGCTCAGAGAGCTGCACACAAATGAGAGAGGAGCCCAGTGGGGCGGCCAGGCAGTCTGAATGCAGAATGCTGTATCCCAATAAAAACACATCTTAGTTTTCCTGGCAACCACGGCAGCCTTCGCTGCATCTCGCAGGGTGGAACAGAGGTGGCCGTGAGTGGATTTATAGCTAACAGTGAAGAACTGCATAAAATGGCTGCAGATGCACTGACTAGCTCCGCTCTCTTTTCCGTGCGGCTACGTCCATTATGGGCAAAAGACAAAACTGCATTTTCTGTTGGTTTAAGGGTTCAACAGATTATGCCAAGGAGCAACATCGGAGAGACTCGTCCGTCCTCCTGACCCCAGACCTCACTCAGGGGAATGGAACTAGGACCCTGACCCATCCCCAGGCCTGCTGATGGGTGGGCAAGGGGACAGTTGCCCCGAAGCCCAGTGATTCAAAGGGGCCCAGGGCTTCCAGCCGCTGCTGTAGCCTCAGTAGCAGTGGTCGGAGCCCCTGGCCCTTTCCGTTGCCGCTGGAGCACCGCACCGCACCGCACACTCCATGCAGCTCTGAGGAGTTGTGGGGGCACCACACTGCAGGTGTAGAGCTTCCCATGGCTCCCCTTGGCTGCAAACAGTGTACTGGAGCCGATTGGAGCCACGAGGCTCTGTAGCTGCAGTGCTGGTAAGTAAACAAACCGGCACAGCCAGTTAACAGCTGGTTTCGCCGACCACTGTGAGAAACACTGACCTAGATCATCACTCACAGGGGTCTGTCTAACCGGCCCTTAAACGTCTCCAGAGATGGAGATTCCACAGCCTCCGTAGGCAACTTACTCCACTGCTTCACCACCCTGACAGGAAGTGTCACCTGATGTCCAAGCTGAACCTTCCTTGCTTCCATATGAGGGGTCCTAAGTGCATGCAGAGATGTTGTGGGAAGTGTGAGCATAGAGTGGATTTGTTTCTCCTCTTGATTTTATCATTTCTGTTGCCCAGCTGCCCTGTGGTGGGTCAGGACCCCATTGTGCAAGGCGCTGTACAAACACAGACAAAACTGAATCCCAGACCCAAAGAGTTTACAGTTTTAGACCTGCCGTATGCCAGTCTAACTAGCTTGGCCTCGGAGGTGTGGCTCTTACTTTACATTCATAGAAGAGGGTGTTAGGGCTTCACTTGGGTGAAAGGAGCTATGGAGCCATGGGATGTGTGTATTTTCTGTCTGATATTCCTGGCAGCCAGTTAGGATGTGGCTCGTCTCTGACATCATAAGGGAGGGGAGAAATTATCTTGCATAACGTGGAACCAACACAAAAGCTGATTGGTTGGGAACAGAGCTTCACCCTTCAAAGAATACGAGTTGAAAAAAACAACCTTACCTCAAAGTCCAATGGCCGAGCGCTGGCCTTGCTCATGCTTCCATCAAACTGGACAGTTTGTCTGGCAGCTGAGGTTTCCTGCTCCTTGTAACAGCCCGAGTGTCAGCGATGGTGCTGCATGCTGCTAACTGGCCGATGCAAAGGAAATCAACACCAAGTGCTGAGCGCAGAACTCATCGGAGCACGTGCAGCATTTGAAGGCCCCATTTCTCCCTTGCGTAATTTGCCAGTGAAAGTGTCAGGGCAGTGGCCTGGCTGTCTGCCTTACACAGAATGAGGCTAAGCGGTCAGGACAGGCCTGGTTGTGTGTCTGAGGCGTAGGGAGTGTAACTCCTAGAAGGCAGAGTTCCTGTTCCAGTCTTCTGTCGCTTGGCTGTCAGCAGAGTATTGGGTTGGTCATAGGTTAACCCTTTCCAGCCTGGATTTCTTTTCTCTGAGGGAGTCCAAAGGGAAGGCGCAGGGCTGAGGTGAGCACTGTCCATGGGGAAGCTGGAGCTGTGAGGTGGGGAAGGAGAGGCAGGCAAAAGCATCCTAGGGACAAGGTGGGTGGAGCTCCTTGAAGAGCAGGCTGGTCAGCGCACAAATCACAGCCTCAGCTGCACCAACAGGCCAGTGATAGGATCTGCAGCTGCAGACAGGGGGTTGCAAAAGGAAGAGCCGGCTCCCAGGGTGTGTCTAGACTATACCTCTCTGTGGAAAGAGAGATGTAGATTAGGCACGTTGAAATTGCTAATGAAGCAGGTATTTAAATATCTCGCACTTCATTAGCATCAACATGGCCGTCGCTTTTTTTCGAAATGGAGCTTTTTCCCAACGGCAGTCTAGACGTGGATCTATTGAAAAATAAAGCCTTTTTGGAAAGATCCCTTATCCCTCATAAAATTTATTTTTCAACAGATCTGTGTCTAGACTGCTGTTTTTCTTCCGAAACAGCTCTGTTTAGAAAAAAGCGGCAGCCATGTTTATGCTAATGAAATGCGGGATATTTAAATCCCGCACATGCCTAATCTACATCTCTCTGTCAATAGAGAGGTGTAGTCTAGACACACCCCCAGACTCCGGCTTTCCTAAGGAATCTTGTCTGGCTTCTACTTCACTGATGGGGCTGAGCCACAAGGTTTCCAGCTCGGAGCTGAAGTTGTCCAAAGCTCAGGGGAGTTAAGATCAAGGGTTTAGTTTGGCTCCTCTCTGTGGCTAAGTCTCACATAGCTCTGCTATAGGGCTGGGAGGGAGGTTGCTTTGTTTTCTTATTTAAACTTAAAAGGAAAGGAATCTTTGTTTTCATTTTGTGTTGAAAACTTGCGTAGGATCTTGGGCCATGTCCAGACTCAGGGGTTTTTTCGGGAAAAGTAGCCTTTTCCCGAAAAAACTTCCCCTGCGTCCAGACTCAAGCCGCGTTCTTTCGAAATTATTTCGAAAGAACACGGCTTTTCTTTCGATGGCGGTAAACCTCGTTTCACGAGGAAGAACGCCTTCCTTCGAAAGCTCCTCTTTCGAAGGAAGGCGTTCTTCAATGTAAAGAGGCTGTCTTCGAAAGAGAGCATCCAGACTCGCTGGGTGCTCTCTTTCGAAAAAGCGGATTTTTCTTTCGAAAGATCCGCCTGCAGTCTAGACGCGATCTTTCGAAAGATGCTCTTTCGAAAGATGCTTTCGAAAGAGCATCTTTCGAAAGAAGCCTGCAGTCTAGACATAGCCTTGTATGGGTTTTTACTTATCAAAAAGTCAGTGTAAAGCCCCCAAATCAGATTTCGGTTGCTGGAAAGTGAACAGTGTTTATTTTCTGGTTTTCGCTTTCAATGAACATTTTCTACTAAAACTGAAATGTCTGTGTGTGAAAATCTCCACTGTGTAAAAAACATTGATGGGAAATTTTTGACTCTCTCCTCCATTCCAAAACCTCCTTCCTGAGCATCCTTCAGGCCTAAGACCTTTTGGGAGGCTTAGGTCCTCCGAGCTATTTGAGTCACGTGAACATGGCATTCTAATTTTGGGACCATGAGGGGAGGATTTGTGTGTGTGTGTGTGTGTGTGTGTGTGTGTGTGTTTAGGGGGAATCAAGGACTGGACTGGCTTTTAAATTATACCGTAATGCCATTTGTGGTCCTGCAGAATCATATGAAACAAGCACAGCAATTTTCTTACAAAGCAGCTGTTTTATTGTAAACCATGGCATGTGCTAGAAGAGCTACAGCACTGATTGGAAGCAATGTTTACTAGAAGGACTTTGCTGAGAAACCCAGAGACAGTTGTAGTTCTCAGGAAAAGGTCTGATTTATATCTGGTCTTCTCTTTGCAAGCCTTACTGGTGGTTGCTTAAGGGAGGGGATGAGCAGTCAGAAAGGGTATGGTGGTGCTGGTCAACAGGGAGGGAACATCACTTTGAATCACAGAACACTAGAACTGGGAGGGACTTTGAGAGGTCATCAAGTCCCATCCCCTGCTCTCATGGCAGGACCAAGCACCAGCTAGACCATCCCTGATAGATGTCTGTCCAACCTGCTCTTAAATATCTCCAGAGACGGAGATTCCACTGCCTCCCTAGGCAACTTATTCCAGTGCTTAACCACTGACAAGAAGTTTTTCCTTACCTAAACCTCCCTTGCTTCAGTTTAAACCCATTGCTTCTTGGCCTATCTTCTCTCCTTCTAGGTACTTGAACACCCTTTTAGGTACTTGAAAGCTGCTATCATGTCCCCACTCAGGGTACGGCTAGACTGCAGGGCAGAGCAAACACTCTTTTGGGAGCCCCTGTATTCCTTGTTCTACAAGGAAGAAGGGGGCTTTCGAAAGAGGGTTTTTTTCTGAAATTTGGCCCAGTCTAGATGGGCCAAATTTTGGAAAAGCCTCTTCTGACAAAAGTATCGGAAAAAGATACTTTTTTTTTGCTCTTCTCTGGACTCTCTCCACACAATACTCCGAGGCCTAATCAGTGCAGAGTAGAGCAGAAGAATGACTCTTCGTGTCTTGCTCACAACACTCCTGTTAATGCAACCCAGAATCAAACCTACAAAGCAGACAATGCATGCATATGAGCCCCTCCCTTTGTCTGTCTCGGTCACCACAAAGAAGAAGCCCTTTGTGTCTGAATCCATCCATCAGGGATGTCCCCAATACCGGGGAAGAGTTGAGAGTAAGACATG